CATCCAACGATGTCATGTATCTCTTTGCCAACCTGTCCGGCTATACGAAATCCCGTAAACCAAAACCAAACTTGGAGGGGCTTTGTAGGAGTCCAGACCGTTGCCAGGTAGGAGTCCGAGACCCCTGGCCTACCGAAAACTACACTCGGACCTCGCGTCTTCATCCCTTCATTCTTTATCTGCATCTGCTTCTTTCCTCGTCGACGCCACCGTTGTACCAGCCGGCCACCTGCCAAGTCATTGTCGGACCTCCGCAAGCGCCAGGCGTACGAGGCCACCCTACAAGTTAGCCTCCTAGTTTTTGTTTTAAGGTTTTTAGTTAAACAGACAAAATATCGTCTGTTTTAAGTAAGTTATGTCCAAACTTTACTGATTTTCGTCATGTTTGATGAAATATGTCTGATTTATTCAAATATGTTTTAAAATGGACGCGAGCATGGTTGGATGACCGGCTCCCATATCACTGTCCGTAGACTGGTTTGGTCCAGATTAGTCCGCGAACGGATACCCTATCTGTTTTGGTGGTCAGCGTTGGAGATGCCCTTACCCCATAATTTTCTTTTCTGAACCAGGCTTCCTCCTTTTCATTACTTGCATAATTGCATAATGAAAACTCAAAATCTATCGAACAATAAGGGATGCGGGAGGAGAGAAAGGATAAAAGCGAGTTCGATGCATTATCAGGAAACCCGCTATGCATGTCGACAATCGGTACCGTGCAATAAAAGGCAAAAACCTAATAACACACATAACCTAACTACGAGCGGTTCAAGATAGCCCAGTACCAAAAAGGTAAACAACCAAACAATCAATTAGGCACGTAGAACAGGGGTCAACCATTGACTAACAACCACCAACATCAGCAAAACCAGATGTGCCTTGGATTTGGATGGAGCCCCGGAAAATCCTGAGCATATTAGTCGCATTGGCTCTGAGCATATCCGCTCCGCTCTTCAGTTTAGCTGCACATTTACCTTGTTGGGACCTGCCCAATTAACAAGAACACATCAAGTGGTGAACACTACTTCAAAGGTCCCTCTCGGACGCCAAAGGAACCCACCTTCCCCCCGGCTCTCGCGTCGCCCCGAGTGGGCGACTCGGGGGCGACCAAACCCTAGCCTCCCGAGCCCCTCTCTCGTTCGCCTCCCCTTTCCCCGCCGCCACCTGAGGGCGCCGCCGGCCGCCGTGCGGCCCAAGTGATGGTGGTGGCGAGGCCCTGCTGGCCTGCATCCGCGCAGGGAGCTCTGGTTCCCGGGGCGGCGGCCCTGGATCTGGTGGGCGGCGCCGCTCTCTCCGGTGGAGGGCGCTGTGGGTGCTGGTCGTCCCTCCGGCCGTGCGGGCGGCGGTTGGACAGCGGAGGTACCTCGTTGCTGTGGGCTGCTCCGGTGGCTCCGCCAGATCAGATCTCCGGGCCCTTCCGTCTGCTCTGCATCCCCTCTCCGGTCCGGATTCAGCGCGCCCGTGCTGCAAGATCTGTCCCCTGAGGTGCGGTGGTGGGAGCTTGGAACGGGGGAATCCCCTGGTCGACTCCGCATCGACCTAGACGTCGGCGGTGCATCGGCTCCGAATCCCCTCTTGAGGGCGCGTTGAGTCCCCCCCCTCCACCTCCCCCTCCCATGTTTTTCCCCAGGTGAAAATCTAGGCTTTGGCCGGCCGTCGACAGCGCTCCATCGTCGTGTTCCTCCTTGGAGGCGTCGGCTAGGGGTAGGGCTTGGGTTGGGTGCCTGCAGTTCTTGGTTGGTGGCGGCTGCGGTGCAGTGCTTGCTCAGGTTTCCGACGGTGGTGGAGATGAGGTGCTATGCCCTGCTATCCTTCAATGGTTGCTGCCCTGCCGCGCTCGTGCTCCGCTGGCCGGTTTACAGCATCCTCGTGTTGTGGCACGGCTTGGATGTAGAGGAGATGGGTTCTCCTCTCTAGCATGTGCACGTCCGGGTTGTGGCACATCCAATGTTTTCCTCCCTGCAGGCACGATCCTCCTCTACACTGCTTGTTCGGTGCCCCGTGGATGTCTCTGTATTCGTTGTTCTGGTCTGCGATGTACCTCCGGCGGCTTGGTCTTGTTTTCTTTGTAATGGCAAGTTTGCACTTTGGTCTGCCGAAGTGTGATCTCTCTTATAATCTTTCAGTTTTTCTCCAAGCTTTGCCTTGTAATAATCAGCACCATGTATCCTAGCCGGTTGATGGCTTCATTAATTTGAAGTCGGCTTTATGCCTTTCATCTAATAAAAAAACACTACTTCAAAGAGGCATTTAGGAAGCTATTTTTTTCAATTGCTGCCTTGTTGCGGGCTAACCATATACCCCCAGCAAACAGCCGCCAAACCAACCATATAAACTTTTCAGCAAATGGAAAGAATACATAGCACCAAGAATGCATAGCCGTCAAGCCCCTTCAGTATATGATATGCATGCTTGTGCACATTCTGGAAAGAAAAAAAATAGCACAAAGAGCAAGGGAAGCAGCGATTCGGTGCCCAAGTGCATGTGAACCTGGGTGTAAGCAGTAAAATCAAATCAAATAGCAAAATAATTCAAAATATTCTGATTTTTTTGGCATTCAATATGTTTCAATGTGTATGCGCATGCAAAAATTTGTGACTTTTGGACATTCAAGGCGGTCGTGGCAAAAAAGACAAAATTTGGCTGTGAAAGAAACTTTGAAAAATTACATTGTCTCGGCTTGTCTTTTTGCCTAGAGCTCCTCGAATGTCCAAACATCATGAAAAATTTCATGCTGCTTGCACACTCAATCATCTTTGATGCCAAAACAAATAAGAATTTTCTAGAAAAGGTTACTTTTTAGGAGCTTACTGTTCATCAGATGTAGATGAGCATGTAGATGAGCCTGGGCTCATATTTGATTTACTGCAAGAGTAAGAGCATCTACAACCAGATTTGACAAATCCGCTCCCCTAAACATCCGCAGACGCACCAGAACGTGACCCCAAACAGCGCTGGACGGTCCCTCACATCTACTGCCGGACAACCACACTCCTCATCTCTAAACTCTCAAATCCACGCAAATCCATGCACGTCCATCATACACATGAATATCAGAAGATTATTGAGTAGTTCCACGATTCAACCATAGTTCAAAAGTAAAAATTATTTGAAGTAAACCCAAACATTAAACTCCTTGGTTTCCATTGTGGGTTCATAAGATCATAGAGTAGTGCATGTGCACCTGTTCATCTCGAAGATTCGGTTGCATATGCAGAAACTTCATAATTAGATATGCATCTTGTTCCAGGATGTGAACTTGTTCTCCGGACTTCTCAAAATCATCCCTGCAATCATATTGTGTAAAATGACACATGTCATCAGCTGCCACAAAGTCTTCGATTTCCACATCATTGTAGCTCCATCAAAAATTCCCCAATAAGCTTGGAGCACTTGAATGCCCTCTCCATATTCTTCCTGCTTGTTTCTTGCATTGTAGCAAACTGTATTTGTTTGATGCCATGGGGATCTGATATGATCTTCACAAACGTCGTCCATTGAGGATAGATACCATCTGCAAGGTAGTACCCCATGTTGTAGGCATGTCCATTGACTGTGTAGTTGCACGGCGGTGCTTCCCTACTGCAAAGTCTCCCGAACACGGGAGATCGCTGGAGCACATTGATGTCGTTGTGAAAACTAGGGATAAAGAAAGCATGTGAAGTCCATAAGTCGTTTGATGCCACTGCTTTGAGTATGATTGTGGCCTCTTTGGCGTGACATTGGTACGTCCCGCACAAATCTTTAGGGCAGTTATTCCATTTGCCAATGCATGCAATCAATAAACTAAGCATACCTTAAAAGCCTCTTGCCGCTCCAATAGCCATCAGTTTTTCTGTTTGGAAATTTGGTTCTCTCATCTACTCTGTTTCAAACACCTGCATCATGTCGCGGCAAATTTCACAGTGGTCTTTAGGCATGTGCTCTTTCCCATCCGGACCATCCCACCAACGGCATCGACGACCGTACCTAATGCAAGCATTCTCATAGCAGTCGTGCATTTCTGCTTAACAGAGAACAAGAGTTGTCCACAACGATCCCTAGAGAGCCTAAAGTAGGGAGCTGTGCCTCCATTCCCTCCACCACGCGCAAGAAGAAGGGTTTGCGCATATCGAAGCGTCGACGAATGTATCAGGGAATGTTCGTGTGGGATCAAAGTGGTACTTGTAGAGTAGTCGTGCTCCAATGCCCTATCCCGGTTTGAAACTCCTCCCTTTGATGGAACCCTTGAAGTTTGGGATGTGTTCCACCTCCCGTCCATTTCCTCCTGGATGCTCATGATCATCATCATCTCGACATCTTCGTCTGACTCTGACGAGTCAAAGAACTCCTTTTGCGTTAATTCATCAAGCTCCCTACTCCTCATCAGATGAACCATTCCAATCCATTGTTTTCCCTACAAACGAATCAAAAAAAAAAATGCTCGAGCAATTTGTCGGACACGTAGAGGACAAGGCACAATCCGAGAATAGCCAGACGTACTGCAGTGGCGTCCGGGTCGGCGACAGTGTCCGGAGTGGCGAGATGGCCAGGGAGGAGTTTTGTGACGGTGGTGGCAACCCGCACTGCACACACCAAGCAAGGAGGGGGGTTTGCTCCCGCCCGGGCTTGGCCCGACGGTACCCTCTGGCGAAGACGAGGGAGGGGGAGGGTGGGTAGAGGAGTGAGGCAGCCGGCGCTAGGGCTTCGCCCAACTACCGCCCGCGGGAGCTACAGGGGCAAGTGAAAAAGTCAAATGGAGAATTCAAGCACCTTGCATTGTACACAGACAAGTTGTACGTTCTTTGGTGCAATCCAAAGGTTAGTTCATGTCTCATGGCGTCGGCTGTTTGCGGGTGTTCTCATATACATGCATATACATATGCATCTTGTCATCGTCGTGTATATTTGTATTTCTCGAAGAAGGAAAATTGGCATACACACGTGCCTTGAGCTCGCACTCGGACATAGCCGCCGATCGAGCAGGAAAAGTAAATGGAAGTAACCGCCGGCCAGCCGTTCTATACTTTGGGGGCGGATGGAGTGGGCGTGGTTGGAGGTTTCAGGTCTTCGTACCTAGCAAAGTTGCAGTTAATCAGACAGAGAGGGATGAATGGATCATACTACGTGTGAATTCGAATGCCATTTTCATGAGCTAGATGAGCAGGGAGACAGGGAGAAATTAGTACCTCGCGTATGGTGAAAGTGGGCGCCCTGGATCAGCAGTGGGGGCGGCGGTGGCGGGAGCGCCGTTGGCGTTGGAATCCAACAGCGGCGAGGAGGGCTCGGCTGCCGCCGCCTCGGCAGTGGTGCTGGTTGCTGCCTCCGGAGAGGCGGCAGTGGGCGGCGGCGATGGAGAATCGCCGTCATCGTTTTTCTTGCTGCTGCTCCTGCTGGGTGTCGGGGAAGACGGTGGCTTCAGCCCCTCGTACCTGTAACGCCATCAGTAAATTAATGGGTCCATCAGAGGCCGAATTCTTTATCTCAAATGCCATGGATGTAACATCAGTTGGTTCACTTACGCCGCGTAGGGTGAGAGCGGCCGTGGCTTTGCAGAAGCAGCAGGAGGAGGAGAAGGAGGAGCCGGAGCAGCTGGTGCCGGTGCCGGTGCAGGAGGCGACTCCTTCACCGCCTGACCGGTGGTGCCGCTGCTAAAGCTGGGTGTTGGGGACGATGGCGGCTTCAAATCTTCGTACCTGCAATGCAACAAAATGCATCAGCAAATGATCATCCATTACCATGAGTCCAGGATATCAGTTCAGTCGGTTCACTTACGCCGCGTATGGCGAGAGCGGCCGCTCTGCTTTTGCTGCTGCAACTGGTGCCGGTGCTGGAGGTGCTGCAGCTGGTGGTGGTGCCGCTGCTGGAGGTGCCACCGACGCTGCCGGTGCCGGTGCCGGTGCTGGAGGTACTGCAGCTGGTGTTGGTGCCGCCGCAGCTGCTGGAGGCGACTCCTTCGGCGCCTCGGCAACGACGGCCGGAGCCGCGGGAGCAGGGGGCGGTGCCCTGCCGGGGTCGGAGGGAACCCTGGCGAGGAGGTCCTCCATGGGCAGCAGCGGCGCGGTGGTCTCGGCCACGAGCTCCACCACCTTGCAGTAGGCCGCCCTCCTGTTCTTGGCCACGCACGCGATCAGCTCCGCGACCTGCAGGTTGGACACCAGGCCGCCGACGTACGTGTCCCGCGGCGACACCACCAGGTTGTGCGTCTCCTTGTACGCGTCCGTCGGCCTCTCCATGCCTCCCGGCCGCACGATCGTGTACGGGACGCCGCTGGCCACCAGCGCCTCCTCCGCCATCTTCTTCCAGCACAGTACACCCCAGAACAAGCTGCTCGATCGATCATGTGAAAACTCCATTAATCCTTGGCCAAAACCAAGTATAATTCGCAAGAGGTACTGTAGTAGCGTTGATCAGTCAGTCTGTTTACTTCAGGAGGGCGGCCGGGAACCCGAATCTGGTGGTGCCGAGGGAGGTGACGAGGACGAAGTGCTCGACGCCGGCCTTGGCCGCGGCGCGCACGAGGTTGGCGGTGGCCACGTAGTCGATGCGGTAGGGGCCCGTGACGTCGAGGATCTCCTTCTCGCTGGCGCCGATGGAGCACACCACGAGCGCCGCGTCGCCGATGGCCGCCTTGATGCCCGCCTCGCCCTGCTTCTCCAGGTCGCACTCGACCAGCTCCAGCCTCGAGGCCGGGGCGCTCCCTTCGCCGAGCTCCAGCCGCTCCACGCTCTGCACGAGGGGCGACGCTCTCTCCTTGCTCCGGACGGCGGCGCGGACGCGGAAGCCCAGCTTGATGAGCTCCCTGCACAGACGCGCGTCGCGTCAATTCTCAATTCTCAATGCAATGCTGCAACAGATGGAATGGACTGCAAACTATCGGTCATGATCGAGCAGAGTCGAAGAGTAGTACCTTACGGTCCGGGAGCCGACCTTTCCCGTGGCACCGGCGACGAAGACGAGGTCCTGCTCCTTCACCGGCGCCGTTGCGGCCGCGGCCATAGCGTAGACGCGGCCGGCGGGGAAGGAGCGGGCAGAGGAGGAGGGGCGAGCGAGTGATCTGAGGGGCGCGCCATGGTGGTACCCGCACCTGCGCGATCTCCGCGCAGAGGCAGAGCACGCGAGCGGGCCGTTGCTACCGCCGACGCGGCACCAGGGCAGCGGCGCCGACAGGGACACGGCGGCGGCCTTGGCCTCCATGTCGATCGAACCGTTGTACTCCACGACGCGGCACTGGAGCGGAGTAGCTCTCTGCCGCTCCAGTTACTCCCTGGATGTCACTCGGATTCCCCTGATCTCCGAGCCCCCGCGGCGGCTGCCCGTGGCCTCGTATCGCGTCGAGGAGCGATGTGTGGTGTCCGACGTGGCGCGGCCGCGTCCCCGGGCTGGGATAACGTGGGGCCCTCTCTTCATCCCCTCGTCCAGTGTCCATGCAAGGAGTGAAGAGAACCGAGGTGGCATGGGGACATGGCCGGTCGTGCCGTGGACGGCGACGCGGGCGTCCGGCTTCGAGGAGGACGCCGTGCGTGGTAATTTTTCGATGATTTCTCTTCAGTTTGACTCTCGCCGGGGTAATTTTTAGATGATTTCTTTTCAATTTGACTCTTTCAGGGAAGCCAGGTGACAGAATTTAAAGCATCTACGGCCGGACTCTTCAAATGCATTTATATGTCCGGCAAACAGTCATAAAATGGTGACTCGGTCGGACCCCTTAGACCGGCCAAATACATTTGGGTTGGCCAGTACGTATCCAGCCCATATCTAGAGCAGATATGGAGAAATCAGAACGCACCCATGCGCCTTCACCATGTTGTGCCAGACAGACCGGAAACACCTCAAATTTCATCAAATTGACCAAGTCCATCAAATTCACCGTCCTCCTCCCATGTCCATCATCCATTTCCTGTGTATCAGCCACCGCCCTCCTCCACCCTTGCTACCCCATCCGCGCCGCGGACCACGTCCGCCGCCCTAGATGTCGCTATCGAGTACCCCTTTCCCTATCGCCTTTGCGTCGTTCATGGGGATCCCGTCCGTGGGATGAGCTGCAAGGCGGAGAACGTCGTCCAGAGGGAGCGGCGAAGGAAGCAGCCCGAGCAGGAAGCGGTGGTGAAGGAAGTTCCGACCAAGGAGATTGTGGGCGTTGAGGAGGATGTGTCCCCTCTGTGTTGCTCGGCCGTCGCGCGCGTCCACCCGACCGCTGACAAGGAAGCCGTCATCCGGATCATCGCGACCGGCGACGATCCAACGTCCCAATGGTCGACTTCAGACGGATTTATGCAATTGGAGGGGTCGAAGACCATGTGCGACTCGCCGCAACTCCAACGGGGGCGGGCAAGCATGGGCAGCGCTGGTGCCCGGACTACCCAGGGCATGTTCGACGAAATGTCACAGCAGGACACGATACATTTTTGCTCCATTTTGTATCGCTTCATTCTTATTCTCTATGTCATTGGATAATTTTTTTGCATATGTCGTTGGATCAATTAGTTCCATATGTCATTGGATACGAAAGGCAAGAAGTGACTTGAGGGGAAGAAGGAGATCAACTGCATAGGGAGTACGAGGTGGGGAGAGTGGCGGCCAAACCACCGGGCGCAGTGTAGACAGTGGCGGTGGCAGAGCACTCAACACAGATGTCATCCGGCGAGTGATTCATCACGTTGGTCAGCCGTAGACCAGGCGTTGAATTTCATTTTTGGCATGTCTGGATTGTTGAATTGTGATTTATATTGCTTTGTTGAATAGTTGAATCATGATTAATCAATGTGCATGGATTTAAGGGTTTGATATGAGGAGCGTGGTTATCAGACGGGACATTTGAGGGCCGTCCGGCATCATCCAGGGTCGCGTCCGGGCTCTTCCGTGGACGTTTAGAGGGATAGATTTGTCAAGTCCAACTGTAGATGCTCTTAGTATTTGGATCAGTCAATTTTTTTTGTCTTTAGGAGATTATGTGTTTGTATATGGATTATTACTTCGAAACTGATTCATGCAGGATCCTTGTGGCCGATGTATGCACGACATGGAAATCCAGTGGCAGATGTCCCGATGTATGCACGCATGTCCGTCTGGATTTAGTTTATCGTGCATGAGTCGTCTGAATTTGTCGTGTGTATAGCACGGCTCTTATTACTTGAAGGCAAACAACTTCGGATCCCAATTGGGGATCGATCATTCTGCTAAAGGCGTTGCGCGAATATTCTTCTCCTTTAAGCTGCTACTGGCAAAAAAAAAGTCTCATCCAAATCATATGTTGGTCCCTCATTATTCACATTCTAGGGGCCATCTGATTTCTATGCTTTAGGTTCAGTTTGCTTGGTGAAAAGTGGAACAAATAAAGTTGTATAGTCTGTCATACTTTTGGCAGATCCTACAATTGAATGTCATCAAGCACCAAAATAACCATTGTCTACCACAAAAGCACGTGTACAGTAAACATTATCATCAACACGTGGCATTGAGTACACAAAATTATTGGAGAAAATTCAACTGCAAAAACAACTAAGCATCAATGAACAAAAACATGTACTAAAGTAAAAGAGAAACACAGTCCTTTACAACACAAAACAGAAGCCCGTGAGATACTCGGCCTTAGTCTGAAACATAACTAAAACTGACCCGATACCTGGTAAGAGAGAAGGCAAAAATGAAAGTAAATGAAAAAAAATAAAGGAAGATAAAAAATAAAGTTTTCTGAGAATGAATGAACTAGTGGCATTAGTATTACCCTTTAAGAAAAAATATAACAATAATAATTAGAACAAATATGACTAAAACTGCACACAATTTACACACAAATTGTGTTTTTTATAATATGCAAGAACACACATATAATAGTTATATTTACCAAAAGAAGAAGTTTCTTGAGAAGGAATGAATTAGTGGCATTGGTATTACTCATAAAGAAAAAATAAATGAAATAAAAACTAAAACAAAATCAAAGTGGAAGTTCTCTAAGAAATAATGTTGGAAATTGTATGACCCTTTAAGAAGAAAAGAAATGAAAAAAGTTAAAACAAATAATGAAAAAATTGCACATATTTTACATAAAAATGTGTTTTCTATAATAGCAAGAATAAGCATTAACAGAGGAATTTTCGTAAAAAGAACTTTTGAAAAAGGATTGGCACTGGTATTACCCTTAAAAAGGAAACAAGAGGAAATAAAAATTAAAATAAAATCAAAATAATAAAGTTCTCCGAGGAAGAATGAATTAGTGGTTTTGGTAGTACCCATTAGGAAGAGAAAATGATAAAATACAAAATTTCAAACAATTTACACAGAAAAGTGTTCCTTTCATAATATACAAGAATAAGCATATAATGATGGAATTTTCACAAAAAAACTCCTTAAGAAAGAATGAATTAGTGACATTGTATTGCGCTTTAAGAAGAAAAATAAATAAAAACGAAAACAAAAAGGAAATCATAATAATGAAGTTCTCTAAGAAAAATGAATTAGTGGCATTGATATTACCCATTAAGAAAAGAAAATAAAAGCTAAGAAATAAATAAAAATATATAAGTTATGTTTTCTTATGATATGTAGGAAGAAACTTATAATAGTAGAATTTTCACAAACAAAAAGTTTCTTAAGAAGTAATGAATTAGTGCCATTGCTTTTTTTTAGCATTAAAACTTTATTCATCAAATAAGAGCAAGATCATTTACATAAGAATGCAGAATAAAGTCCGGGACAACGTCCCAAGTTTCAGACTTGCTAAGACTAAAGCTATGCTTTGCTAAGCCATCCGCTACCATATTCGCTTCTCTGCTACAATGAGTAAAACTGATGCTTTTAAATTCCATGGCCATAAGAGAGCATTCTACTACTATTGGAACATCAGTTCCCATGTATGCGTTTGGGTCAGATATAGCCTCCAAAGCAGTCGTACAGTCAGACTCCAAAATAAGCTTAGTGCATCCAAGATTCACTGCAAGGATCAGACCACACCTGATAGCTAACAATTCCGCAGAGCTTGCACTAGACACATGCGGTATTGCACAAGTAGTTGCAGCCAAGAAATTGCCTCGATCATCACGAGCAATAGCGCCGCAGGCTCCTGAAAAATTGTCCGCATGGAATGACGCATCGACATTAACTTTTACCGCTCCCTCCAGTGGCTTCTTCCACTGATGACTGATCGTACATACCGCTGATTTGGTGTGTAGGCTCGTACGAAGTTGGTGGCTAAAACTCGGATAGATATTGATGTTTGTCCCGGTGTCTGGACTGACTCCCCATTAGTTACTTGGCGCCTCTGCCACCAGATAAACCACATCGCAACCAAGATGAGTTCAGCCATTGGCAACTCATGAATCATGGTACGCATGCGGACCAGAATTTCCAAAGTTATAGAACCAGATCGATCTTGCCGCACGGCTTTTATAATATCATTCTGCAATCCTAACTCAGACCAAACATCAGATGCCCGTGCGCATGTAAAAAGGCAATGTTGTATGTCCTCTAATCCGATCTTGCAAAGCGGACATTGCGGAACCAAGGGTATATGCCTACCTGCCAGAACACCGAGGCACGGCAAGACCCCCTTTAGGACTTTCCAACCAAAATGTTTTATTTTCCCCGGGAGCCGCAGTTGCCACAGATCTTTCCAAACCATATTAAGGTTAGCGGTACCTGGGTTATTCAAGTTTGAGTAATGACGTCCAAACTGATGATCAAACTCCACCTGATATGCCGAGCGAACAAAGAAGGTTCCGGACCTCGTAAAGTGCCAGGCTAAAAAATCTTCAACTGCCTCAACATGTAGGGGAATCTGTAATATTCTATCTACATCAACCGGTGAAAACACACTACGCAACAATGCCTCATCCCACTGTCCAGTATGGGGATCAATAATCTCTGCCACCTTTGTTAACATAATTCCTCCTCTAGGGGTAATAACTTTTCTCGACTCACTAGATGGAATCCATGAATCTTCCCAAATATTGATGTGTGAGCCAGATCCAATTCGCCATATGCAGCCCCTTTTGAAAGTCTGAACCCCGGCTAAAATGCTTTGCCATGTAAATGAAGACCCTTTCTTCGGTCCCGCTTTTAGGATGTCCCCGTTAGGGTAGTATTTTGCACTCAAAACTCGTGCACACAAAGAGTCCGGATTTTGAAGAAGTCGCCAACACTGCTTTGCTAACATAGCAAGATTAAAGCTGTGAAGGTCTCTAAAGCCCAATCCACCT